GAATTAAGCTTTATGTACCTGTAATCCCAGCACTTGGGAGGCTGAGGCAGGAGGATCATTGCAAGTTCGAGATCAGCCTGGGCTACAAAGTGAGCTCAAGGCCAGTCTGAACTCCATAGCAAGACCTTGTCTCAAAAAGACCAAAATAAATAAATAAATAAATAAAATTTTAAATGCTTTATGTAATATTTGACATATTGAACTTCTATCCCTAATTCCCCCTTTTTGTTTAGCTAACAGAAACTTAAGAGTAGCATGTGCCCTTTCAACCATACCTGTCCTTGAGGATTATATGGAATGCCGGTATAATGCTTAATATCCCACAAGGCACAGAATTGCTGGAAGGAATGGGATGCGTAAGCAGATCCATTGTCAGTTTTAATTGCTGTGGGTTTTTCTATGATAGCAAAACATTCTAACAAATGATTTTTAACATGAGCAAAGTTTTCTCATGATTGTGCAGAGGTCCATAGAAAGCCAGAATATGTGTCTTTTTTTTTTTCCCCCGGTATCGGGAATCGAACTCACGACCTTGCACTTGCCAGGCAGGCGCTGTGCCGCTGAGCTAAATTCCCAGCCCCACAGAATATGTGTCAATAACAACATTTACAAATCCAAGTTTGCTCAAAGCAGGAATATGTGTTACATCCATCTGCCGCAACTCATTAGCTTGCAAGCCTCTAGGATTTGCTCCAGGCTGAAAAGTAAGGTTATTAAGCATTCTGCAAGTAGGACAAGCTAAAACGATTTCACGAGCTTGTTGAATGGAAAGTTGAGGAAATGTTTTACATAAGCCTTTGGTATTTACATGAGTTACAGTGTGGAATTCAGTAGCTAAGTAATTTGGTGAGGAAACAGCAACAAGCAGGTCAACCTCATCATTATATTTAAGCATGTCACCAGGAAGATGTGAATGAGAAAGAATATGAGTTACGAAAATAGGAAAATCTCTATTATGGATATTAGTCTGCAATTGACAGAACAATTGATCAAGTTCAGTAGCATTTGATAAAGTACCTGTTTCTACATGATTAACCGTGAACCATGCATATTGAGAGTCTGTGACAATATTCATAGATTCTGGGACATCTAATAAAAGTTGGGTAACTGCCTGAAGTTCCACTCGTTGTGCAGAAAGAAAAGGAGTGCGCCACACTTTTGAAATCTTTCCTACATATCCAGCTTTTCCATTACCGCTACCATCAGTATAGTACGTGTCTGCTGCAGTTATTGGTTCAGAGCGCACAATTCTAGGCAAGATCCAGTTATGCCGTTTAAGAAACTGTAAAAGTTTAGAACTAGGAAAATGATTGCCTATTTTTCCAATATAACCAGGAAGTCCAATCTACCACTGTTCACTCATGGGTAATGCCTGATTTATCTGCTGCTTTGTTAAGGAAAAAATAATAGATTCAGGGTCTTCTCCTGATAACTGTCGTAAAACGAGTTCGGACTTTAAATACGATTAGGACTATTTTATCTATATAGGTAATAAGTCGCTTCTGCTCCTTGTGGGGAAGAAAAATCCATTCTAAAACTGCCTCCTCCTGCCATAATATAGCCATAGGAGAACGGAATGACAAAAAAATTAGAAGCATAACTGGTTTAGACAAACCTCTATGGGTTAATTGAGCTTGATTTATACGCTGTTCTACCCAGGCTAATTCTTTTTCTGCTTCTTTTGTAAGGTAGCGAGGGCTGTCTAATGCTGGGCTCCCTTTAAGAGTATTAGAAGGGTGTTACAAAGCATAGGTAGGGATACCTAAAGAAGATCGTAACCAATTAATATCTCCTAATAATTTTTGAAAATCATTAAGGGTGAGAAGCTGATCTCTATGAATATCAATTTTTGGGGGAATTATTTGTCATTTTTGGAGAATATGACCTAACTAAGTAATGGGATAGGCGGTCTGGATTTTTTCTGGGGCTATCTGCAAACCAAAGTCAGTCAACAATTGTTTGGCTATCTAAATTAATTACCTCTAAAACATAAAATGTGCATCTATCCATAAGATGAGCTCTAATTGCAGGATTAGGCTGGTGCAAAAGGGAATCTTCTCCCACTTTGCTACTGGTTAGAGCCATTGTGTTAGGAGAATAAGACACTCACACATTCACTCCTCAGCAAGCGTCAATCCTAAGCGGTAGCTCTGGGGCACGAAGTCCTGCAGGAAGCCGTACAGCTCGGGGATCAGGCCTTGTGTGTCCCGCAGTGGGGTGACCGTGAGCACCCCCTCTGCCTCACAGACGCTTGCCACAAAGGCCACGAGGGGCTCGGCCCTCGCTCCCTGCTCTGTTATCGCTGCCAGGTCCCACCAGCGTCTGGGTCACCTGGGCCTCTGTCACCAGCCACTCAGCCCGTGCGTCACCCTCCGGGCTCTGTCGCCACCCTTGCCACGTGCGGCGCCAGCTGGTACGGCCACGACACAGCTGGGCCGGCGTTGGGCGACCCTGGCCTTCCTCCCCGGGCCCTGGGCACTGGCTCGCCACCACCGGCAGTCCCCTGGCTGTCTGGAGCTGTTCATGCCCCAGGCCTGTGCTGCCTTGCAGCCTCTGCAACTGTCTCCTTGGCTTTTTGACGGAGGTCCCCTGCGTGTCCCCCAGCTCCTCAGCCCCGTCCTTGCCGCCCTCTTCGTGCCCATCTAACTTCAGTCTTTTGCCAGCTACTCCCTGGGCGGCCTCCTCCATCTCCGCCCTGGGCCTTGGCTTCTTTGTTCCCCGTTCTATCTGGCGCCCCAGTGTGTCCTGCAGTCCCTGGACCAGAGCAGCAGCGGGCAGGGGAATAGAAGCGACCTGGAGCAGCGAGGCGGGAGGGCGTGGCTGCCGAGGAGGCGGCGCCCCAGTCGTGGCCTTGGGCAGAGCTGCGCTGATCTTCCCTTTTATCCCCTGGGGTCCAGCAAGGTGCTGGCAGGGCCCAACAGTCCCGCTTTACTTTCAGGAGGGGGCCCCACTGCCTGCGCGCCCCCCCAAGCGGCTCTGTGGTTACTGCCTCTGCAGCCACAGCGGACGTGCCCGGCCTGTGTGCGTGCTGGCCATCGCTTTTGTTCTGGCCATCGGATATTGTTTCCGTCTGGATGCCAAGCACCAGCGCCGGCACAGGACAGCACCTGCCCCTGCATCTCTCACACCAGGCTTGACCGTCAGAGTGTGTGGGGCCCACGCGGCGAAGTCTAACTGAGCGGGAACATCTAGTTATTTCACAACTGTGACAGGTGACATCTTCCATTTGGTAAGGGTTGTCAGGTTTCTGACATGTTCTGCCAAACTGTTTAAAGTAAACCTTGTTCATACCCTGGACGCACCATATGTATGCACTCTCCCAGTGAATGTTGTGGTTTTTGCAGGGATAATAGCCATGTTTTTGCCTGAAGCGCAGGGGCCCCTCGCCTGGCTCAGCACCCAGCGGCAAAGAGATCACTGACTCTGCTTGGGCATGGTTGTCACTGCTGCTGGCTAGAAAAGCTTGGTAGCTTCCCGTGTTGTTCGTCCTTGGGCCCCCGGCTGGGCCTGAGCTGGAGTTTTCCGCCGGTATCAGAGGAGTCCCATTTGTGTGATATTTTGGTCAACACTGACTAGCCCAGTGTCATCCTTTTTGACACCTAGGACAAACCTTAATAGGCAAAGAATCTTCTGAAATGTTAACCTCTCGTTTTATCCAGTGGTCCGTTCTTTGTCTTGCTGGTCCACATTCCTTTTTCGCATGCCCTGTTTTACCGCATTCAAAACATTTAACACTCCTTTGAGTACAAGGGCAAGCAATCCTGCTTTAAAGGTTTCTGATCCGATATCCCGACAACCTTTTATATATTCATCCAAAGTAACATCCTGAGATTTTAAAGGTCTTAAGACTTTTTTGACTCTGAGTTGGCATTGTCATAGGATAACATTTTCAATAATAGTTCTCTTAAGGCAGGTTGCAACACCATTTTCTGGAGTATTTCTCTTAGTCTAGCTATAAACTCTAGGTAGGGCTCATTAGCACCTTGAGTAACCTGAGTCACGGAGGGATCAGTCTGGCCAGGAGCAGTAATCTTTTCCCATGCTTGAAGACAACACATTTTAGTTTGAATGATTACATCATCGTTATATTCTATTTGCTGATCAATCCCAAACCAACTGCCAGAGCCCACGAGTTGGTCCACAGAAATAGGAACTGGCGGGTTATTATGGGCATTACAAGGGGCCATTAACTCTGCTTCATCTCTCCACTGTGTTCTAAACTGGAGGAATTCAGTGGAATTGAGAACTGTATGTCCAATCCTCTCCCAATCCCGCGGAATTAAACGGTCAGACTGAGCCAGCCACGAAATCAACCCATAAGTATAAGAATTCACTCCATATGAAACACAAGACTGCTTCAACTCTTTTATAGTTTTAAAGGATAATGGAGCATGATTATAGTGAACATACTCTTGGGGTTTTCCTGATCTCCTGGTAGTCGAGTAACTGTAACTGGGTACACAGCAAAAGCCTTACAAGCATCCAAATCTCCTTCCTGTCTGGCTTCAGCAAAAGCCTTCGTAAGTGTAGTCATACGTAATGGTCTTTGGACAGTTAACTGAGGTGGGTCTCTAAAAGGGTTAAACTTATCATATATAGGGGCTGAGGGTTGTGCCAGATCCTCATTTCCTATCTCCTGTGAAATCTCGTTTTGTTTCGTATTTTTTTCTGAAACAGAAAATTTCCCATAACCCTGATGAACAATCCCGGAGACCGGGCTTACCTGACCGCCGATTCTCCTCCAGTCCGTCGAGCACTGACTTAATTTCCTTTCCTAGTCTTGAAGACTTATTGTCATACCCTCGTCTCGTAGACTTACTTTCGTACTCAGGTCTTTACCCTAGTCTCGAAGACTTACTTTGGTACTCAAGTTGTACTTTTGCACTTGAGTCCCTGTTCCTGGCACTATATGTTGGCATTAACCCCAGTAACAGGTCCCGAGAACGAGGTGCCCGTGGATGAAATGGTAAAAGAGGTAAGAAAAACAGGAGAGGCAAAAGTCTGGGACCAGGGGGCCCACAGCCTCTGGGACTGCAGCCCCATCACTCATCTCAATCACCTTTTATTCAAACCAAGCCCGTAACTCAGACCAACAGGAGAAATTCATCATCCCTTTCCACGTCTGCCTCTCAGCTGATGGGAACCATCCTGGGGCGAGCCTTCACACCCCACACCACGTGCACTCAGCACGGCTGGGGATCATAGGCCGACCATCAGTAATCTACCCATCCGCAATCACAGTCCTTTCGTCACACTCCACCTGGGCCACATCAGGCTCAGTGGGACACTGGGGGCCCGAAGCGCTGCATGGTCTGCACCACCAGGGACAGCTGCTCGAGGAAGCTGAGGACAGAAACCCGGAGTAGGCGCATGTCCTGGGCTGTCCAGCGGCTGAAGGCAAGGGAAAAGAAGGCCAAGTCGTAAGCGGGAAGCTGTTACCTTCCTTCGCCACCCAGTTCTGGGCTGCCTGGCACAGGGCACCCCAGAAGAGACTACCTCAGAACCTCACCTACATCTCTGTGTCCGGTGTGACACCCTGGCTGGGGCTGGCCCAGCCACATCACCCCTGGCCAGACCCTTCTGATTTTCCCCTTGCGCTCAGGGGGATTCAGGCAAGCTAGGCAAGTGTTCTACCGGCAAACTGCACACACAGCCCTTTACTTTTCCCTTTCTATTTTAAAGAGAGGCTGGCTGAAATGCTGAGGTTGCCCTCCAACTCGCGATCCTCCTGCCTCAGCCTCCCAAATTGCTAGGATTACAGGCCTGCGCCGCTGTGCCAGATGCCAGCCCTCCATCGCACTTACACGTCCAAGGTGCTGCCACTCGCTGTCAGCTCCTTCCCAATCACTTCCGGGTGCGGTTCAGCATCTGGAGCCAGGGAGCCCAGGGCGATTCGTGCGTCCAAAGGCGTCGGGAATGGTATGCTGAGAGCACTGGTGGCTGCAGTAAAGGCTCCTCCTCCGCTGCATTCCAGGCCTCCGCCATTCTCTGAGGCCACCCTCGCCCCTCCGGGGTGGGCCTGACTCGCCAATCTTTCTAGGGGTGCCCACAGTCCCCAGGCCACCCCAGCCACTCACTCCCAGCCGCGCCCCCGCCCCCGTGCGCTTCCACCCAGCCCCAGGCAGCCCAGTCGGACCCCCGCGTCCCCTCGCGTAGGATACAGTATGTGTGGTCGGCTCTCGAGGCCGCTGGCATCGGGCGCGGGGTCTTGGTCCAGACCCAGGTCTTCTGAAGCACGAGCTGCACAGTTAGCGCCACTGGCCGCAGCGTCCAGCGTGCCGGCGCCCGCCGCCTGCATGTCCGCCTGTGGCTCCGCCTTCAGCTCGCCCCGCTCGCCGGCTATTGGGCGATTTAGGCTCCCGAGGCTCCGCCCCGCCCAGCGCGGAGCCCATGCCGCGTGGGCATGCGCAGCCAGGCGGGTTTGGGGAGAAGCGTCCGGTTAGTGGTCGCTGCCCGCCATGACGGCTCTGCTGGGACCTTGTCGGCCCGGTCAGCCACAGAGGGACAGAGGTTCTGCAGTAGCTGTCCCTTCACACACAAGGCGACTTCAGGGCATTCCCGCAGGACGCGTGCTCTGGGCCCGCGAGCAGACCCTGCTGTCCTGGGCCAGGGCACCTGCTTCCACACGCTTTGCCCTGCCAGGCGACCCCGGAGACCGCCCTGGCTGCCTGGCCAATGAGCGTACCCGTCTGACGTGCCGCCTCCACCACCCCGAAGAAGCCGAGCGCCCTCTGCGTACGTTCCCCAGGCCTGGGCTTCGCGATGCGGCCCACAGGAAAGGAGGGCAGCATGTGTGTCAGCCCGCACTGGTCAGCCCGGGGCTTTCAGGGACAGCGAACAGATCCACTTTGCAGTTTAGAAGGAGCTCTTCAGAGGGAGTTGTGTGGAGGCAAATTTGCTATCAGAGAGGTGAGAGTGACAGGGACATCAAAGAGCTGGCAGTGGGAGCAGGTGAAAATCTGTGAAAAAGCAGTGTGCAGAACCATAGTCACTCAAGTACCGACACAGGGACCCTACAACCGTCCGCCAGCGCAGGGATACTCAGGGTCTCTGGGGGCCGGCTTCGGGGTGCTTTCAGTTTCCTCTTTTCTCAGGTTTTCAGAAGGAATCTCGGGTGAAGGTGTTCGTTATAGTTCACGTATGTCCCAGTAAAATCCCGAGATGTTTGCCAGTTGCACTGGAGGCCAAACGCCGGCTCTGTGTCCCCGCTGCCACCCCGCGCTCTGCTCCCCTTCTCGGAGTGCTGCATGGCACTTCTGCCCCTCTGGGGTGATGTGCTTGCTCCACTCGCCTCCTTATTGTTGATCTTGTCTCTGGCACCTTCTCTGTTTGTCCCCAGTGCTTGGGGCCGTGTCGTGTGTGTGGTAGGTGCAGTGAAACAGCGCGGAAGTAGATAGAAGTGCCTGCCGGCTCAGAACCAGCAATCCTGCCTGTAAGAGGCTCCGCCTTGCAAGATGAAGCAGTGAAACTCCAGGTTACGTAGCAAGTGCGCTAAAAACTACTGGATGCAGTGTACATGTCCAGCCTGAAGAGATGGTGCTCTGGTTACTTTTCTCTCGATGCTGAGACAAAATACCCAACACGCAAATTAAGGAAGGAAAGGTTTATTTAACTCACAGTTTGTGGAGGTTTCAGTCCGGACTCGGCTGGCTCCAAGGCAGGGTGGCACCTGCCAGAGGGCAACAGTCCACGGCCGAGGAAGACAGCAAAAGCAGCAAGAAGGAAAGGGAGGTGCAGCAAGCAGCCTCTTTCCCTCCCTTATAGTATACCCAACCTATTGCCCAAGGGCGGGCGTAGCACTCACACCCATAATCCCAGCATTGGACCATGGATTAATCATACACTCTACAAGCCCACCCCATGACTGCATGAGGCTTTGGGGGACATCCAGACACAAACCATAACAGATGGAAAAATAAACTATCACATGTTCACATAGTAGCCCTATGCAGCAATAACAAGGAACGAAAATCTAGTAAGGAACCCAGTGAGGCTGGGCAGAGGTAGTGGTCCCAGCACTCTGGAAAGCTGAAGCAGAGGATCACCCAGCCTGGGCAAATGAGTAAGACCCTGTCTCAGAGTAAAAAATAAAAAGGCCTGAGGATGTAGCTCAGTGCAAAGGCTCTGGGTTCAGTCCCTAGCACCACAGGGAAAAAAAGTAAAATTTCTAGAACGTGTTGTTATGTGGTGATAAAAAGAGTATAAAGGACACATACCTGCAAGCCCACATGTTTACTGGAAAAAGAAGGTTGAAACAGAAACCAGTTCAGATGGTCACCTAGCAGGGTGGTCTGGTGCATGCCTGTAGTGCCAGCACATTGAGAGGCTGAGGCAGGAGGATCACAAGTTTGAGACCAGCCCAGGCAATTTAGTGAGTAATAAAAAAAAAAATTTCTGCTGGGTATGGTGGCACACTCCTGTAATCCCAGCACTTGGGAGGCTGAGGCAGGAGGATCGTTGCAAGTTTGAGACCAGGGTTTTTTTGAGCCAGGGTTCAGGCTGGCCTTGAACTCAGGGCAATTCTCCTGCCTCAACCTCCTGAGTGCTGGGATTACAGGTATGTGACACCACACCTGGCCAATAAAAATTTTGTAAAGGGTTGGGGATTTAGCTCAGTGTAAAGGCACTGAGAGGAGGAGGAGGAGGAAGGGAGAGGGAGGGGGAGGAGGGAGGAGTAGGAGTAGGAGGAGGAAAGAAGAAAACAAGAAAACAACAAGAGGAAGCCCGGCATGGTGGCGCACTCCTGTAGCCCCAGCACTGGGGAGGCTGAGGCAGGAGGATGGTTGTGAGTTCGAGACCAGCCTGTGCTACAAAGTGAGCTCAAGGCCAGCCTGAACTGCACAGTGAGACCCTGTCTCAAAAAGACCAAAAAAAAAAAAAAAAGAGGAAGGAGAAGAAAAGGTCACTATGTGGAGTTGAGATAGCTATAGAATTTTTATGTATTTTTGACTTTTATCAT